GCACCGCAAGAAGCGAAGCTGTCTGCCAAATCCGCCATAACCTCTGGGAGCGAAGTAGAGCGAATGGAAGGGGTTGACGCGTCCTTGCGGCGCGTCACAAACTGGGGCCCTGCGGATGTGTCGAACGAAACAAAACATGGCATGTCGCTGTCGCCCTGTGGCGCAATGCTAAGGGCGCGGGCGCGAGCGCTCATGTGGGCCACGTTGCGAACGAACTTCCTGCCCGCGACGAAGCCGCGCTGGCTGGGGCGACCTATATCGGTGGCCCTATAGGGGAGCAGAAAATTAGACGCACTGGCAATGAATTTAGAACCAGCGCTGCGAAGAGAAAGAGGGAGAGAGAGAGAGCGACAAGAAAAAAGAGAGAGATAGCGAGAGAGAGAGAGAGAGAGAGAAACAAAAGAGAGAGAGAGAGAGAGAGAGAGAGAGAGAGAGAGAGAGAGAGAGAGAGAGAGAGAGAGAGAGAGAGAGAGAGAGAGAGAGAGAGAGAGCGGGAAAACAGAAACAACAAAAACGCACAACAAACGGTCTGACTTTGCTTGGCTGGCGAACGCAATCGAACGCATCAGATGGCGCAGGACCTCTCGTGGGGAAAGGAAGCGCTGAGCCGTTGAGATCAAGGGGAACTGGGCCCCCCCGAGCACGGCGAGAGCCGCGTCGTGCAAGATGCCGAGCTGAACTGGCAGGGCGGCCCAGGCGGGGCAAGTGGAGCCGTCTGGGTCGGCCGCGGAATGGCGGGCACGATGAAGCGCTGGCTCGAGGCCAGCGCGATGCGGGGCGGCAAGACTGGCGAGCTCAGATCAATCCGTGGAAGCCCTCTGCCCCGCAATCGCGTCAAGGTCCTGTCGGAGCCTGTCGGGCTCAACGCGTCTGTCTTTGAACGCATTGCCCCAGTGGCCCGAGAGAGCATCGCGGATATTTTCGGCAGGACGCACATCGGAAGACAATTCATCTGGCTCCTCGGCGGCGGCCTCAGGTCGGACCCCCTGGAGTGCACGTGCACTATCACGCGGTCTCCAGTGCTTGGCGCGCCCTTGGAGGATTCGCTGCTGGCGGCGGGCCGCGGCGGCCGACTCGCGTTGCCCGTTGGCCTGCGCGCGACGGGCCAGCGCGCCCGCTCGAGATTGGCGGCGGGCGAGCGGCGCCGCGCTCACCTCGCCTAACGGCGCGCGAGAGGCTTCTGGCTCGAGAAAGGGAAGAGAGGAGTCCGAGACAGAGGGGGCTTAAACACATAGCTCGGCGGTAGCTCGGATAGCGGCGCCAGCTCTCACGCCCTGCCCCCACGCCGCGCGCGCGACGGCGCGAAGAGCGACAAGGCGGGCCTCTGCTGCATTCGGGTCGCGAGACGAGAGGGGGAGCTCCTGAAGTTTGTTGCGCGTCTCACGCGCTGCCCCCTGCATGTGCGTCTTCGCATATTGCCGTCGCAGGGCGGGGGGGAGATGCGAAGTGTCGACAGCCTGATTAGAGATTCAAACTGGCCACGATCGCGGAAACCTGTGAATGCGACACCAGGAATGTGAAATTCAGCATGCGACCCATGGTCGCGGTTCTGAAACGAAAGCGAAACCATCGCACGACCGCGCAACCGGGCGCCCGACAATCGGCGCGGGCTGGCGCGAACTTCCATCGCTGCGTCAAACTCGAGCATGAATTCCAAGGGCGCCTCCAAGAAGACGCGACACAGGGGGTCGGCGGCGGGGCGCCGGCGATCGAAGCGCGCGGGCAGGTCCGCCGAGACCTCCGCGGTCGCGTGCATGAGCGGGCGCCAGAAGCTAGGGAGCGGGGACGCATGAGTGCCCGGGGCAAGTCTGGCAGCGGCAGACTCGGTATTCTCGCAGCTGGCGATGGCGGCGTCCGCGATGTTGAAGCCACAAAAATGTTCATCGGCGGATCCGCGCGGCCCCGCGGGAGCAGCTGACGCCCGCGGTGACTAATGCCAGGCAAAACTTCGCAAGGTAGATCGCAGCTGCGCGCGAGAACGCGTAAGTCACAGGACCTGGACGCGCCCCGGAACGAGAACTTTGCGAGTGAGAAGAAGGCGCTCTGCGGGCCGATGGGGGGCAGCGTCGCGAGCTTCAGAGACCCGCGGCAGGGGGGTCGCAACGTCACCGGCACCAGGCCTGCCGGTCGCAGAGCGAAAGACCTTGCAACGGAAGGGGAAGCCAGAAAAAAAAGACCTGAATCTGCTCAGTGCTACCATGAGATTCTTGAATCAAATCACCGCTCGATCTCTGAAGCGGGGATGCAGCAAACGGAACTTGGCGCGACGTCGAACTGGATTGAGACAGGCAAGACCCCTAGCAATACACGAGACGATCCTGCCGCGTTGCTTGACAGGCCGCCACTCCCAGGGAGTCCAGCGACTGCTAAAGACCTCACCCTTCCGCCGACGCATCCACGACATTGGCGAGGCGGGCAAAGGCTTCGGTGACGACGGACTTGTTGATGTCGAACTGCACCACGGTGGGCGCGTGCCAGACGAGCTTGGCGGGGTCATTGATGCCATCGACCGTGAGCGCCAGCAGGGGCACAATATTGACGAAAACCATACCCGTGTTGCGCTGACGCGCGAAACGATGCGGCGAACGATGCTCGGACAGGACCCTTTCGGCCGTCTTGGTGTGGGCGTCAAGCCTGACAATATTGGGGGACTTGTCAGGGCTGATGTAGAGAGGGGTCTGGGCTTCCCGACTGTTGGGGGCACTGAAAGTGCGACGCTCCCCAGGATCACGAAGCTGCTGGGCCAGGGAAGTGGCACGGGGCCTGGCAACCTCGTCAGAGCCGATGGTACGGAGGAGGAAGCGCCCGGATGGGGATGTCGCCAATGAGCTGGACCTACTCGGGGGTTTTGCCCGCGTCCTGGAGCCACTGCGCGATGCTGCGCCTGACCTCCGACGGGGAGACCGCGGAGGGCGAACCGATCGAGAACAAGGTCGACTACGAGGGCCGCTCCCGTCGAAGCGCCGAAGCGTCGGCTTCGGCGAGGGCCAGAGTGTGCTCCAGCTTCGCCACATCATCACGGACACGATCCTGCTCCTTCCCCATCTTGGCCTGTCGCTGCTGGATGTCGGCGACCTGGTGGGCTTGACGATCGATGCGCTGGTTGGTCTGCTGGGCCTGGGCAGTGCACGTCCGAATGCTCGCCACGAAGTCACTCTGAGCCTTCGGGAGAATATCTTCACACACGTTATGGGGCTGGGCCGTCGCGGAAGAGAACTGGGATTTGAAGAGATGTTCGAACTGCTTTTCCATGTCGGGGGCGACGGAAGGGCCACGCCATGGGTCAGCGCCGCCAGGTGACTGCCATGGATCTGCGCCAGCAGGCGGAACGGCAGGGGCCGCAAAGGATGCAGCAGCAGCAGCAGCAGCAGGTCCGCGCAACTCCTGGCTGGGGAAGGTGGGGGTCGCCTCCAGATCCACGAGGAGGGAGCCGTCATTGACCATGTCGTCCAGGGTGGCGGCGGCGGCGGCAGCACGAGCGGGACGCGTCTCATCGCGCGGTGGGTCCCATGGCCTGCGGCGATCGGGGCGAGAGCGGCGGCCATCAGCGTGCTCACGTTCACGGCGTCGACGTTGACGATGGTTAGTAGTATTATCACCAGCGCTGCACCCACTGCGACTGTGGCTGTGGTCGGGTTCCGCATGGTCGCTGCTGTCCGTCGAGTTGACGGAGGATGGCATGGCATCCGCAATCGCAGGCGCGACAGCACGGAACAAATCTTGGAAGATGCGAGCACCTGGGATGCGGGGGGCCAAGTCCCGCGGAGGCCGAGAGAGACTGGATCAGAAGTCTCTACTCCGACCCACGGGGGACTCATCATTTTGAGCCAGAATGGCTACGGAGAAGCAGGATGAAGAGGAGGAGGAGGAGGAGGTGGAGGAAAAGGGGGAGAATGAGGATGAGGACGAGGAGGAGGAACTGGAGGTGGAGGAGGAGAGGGCGAAGCGGGGCAGAGGAGGGCGGTGCAGGGAGGAGAAGGGATGAAGAGAAGGAAGGATGCTCTTCCAATGGCTTCGTTTTCCAGTCCCACCGTAGCCGAAACTCCCGGGCAAGGGCGGCGCCTCGTGGAGCAGCGGCGGCTCGACGCCGCCCTCGCCGTGCCGCAGCAGGGGCCCTTCGCCCCGCGACGGGCTGTGCTGGGCCGGGGCGGGTTCGGACAGCAGCCGGCAGATCTCCTCGTGCGAGCAGAACCAACGCCCCCTGATATCGGACGAAAGCAAGGTACCGCAATCGCGACACGTGGGTCGGAAGAAATGGGTAGAAACATGAAGTAGGAAGGCATTGGAAGTAGGTTGGGTTTCCGCCCGCCCCCTGACGAGGAGGAGAGACGTGAAACTGCTCGACCCTTGAGGTGGGAAGGCGCCGGACCTGGGGATCCAAATGCTTCCAACGACCGACGTGCACAGTCAACCCGTATAGTACGGACGCACGATAAAGATGCAAAGGCTCTGGAAGGTCATGTCGACACTTTGCGGGCGGGGCGGGGCCAGCAAAAACGGCCAAAGATAGGCCGAAGGGGAAGGATGCAAGGGTAACCTTGGGAAGTTGCTCATTCTTCTCATGCGGTTTGACTGTGCCCTTCACTCGTTTTCGCTTTGGGGGGCCTCCTTTGGGGCCCTCGTCGCCGCCGCTGGATTCGCCTCGAAATTGTAATCAAAACGCACCCGGGAGAGTTCTTGGGAGTAGCAGTGCGATGTCGGTACCTTTTGGTTCCCCTCTCCTTAAAGCCTCCCAGATGGGGTCCGAGTGTTGCGATGGGTTTTGAAACATCGAGCCACACTGCCGATGCGTCACCGATGTATCGGCGATGCACCATTGGTGTCGGCGATGGACCGGCGCCGCCGTCTTGGACAAAAATTGGCTCCACAGCGAGCTCAATGGCTGATGTGTCGGGGATGCGGCGGAATCCTCCGGCCCAACCATCTCCAACCCCGTCTGGGAAGCCTAGACCTGAACAGTCTTCCGCCAGCGTCGACCGTCTGCTCGTCCACCATCGCCCTGAACCGCTCCAGCTTCAGCCCCGCAGGGACGGTGCCCGCGCACAAGAGCCGGAACTCCCTCGCCCACTCCTCGCTTGAGCCCTCGAAGCCTGCCTTTGGCGGCGCAAGGCTTCTTCTTTTTCTTCTCTGCGCAAAGCATCGAAGAAGAGGGAAGAGATCACCCTGCAGGATGTGGGGGAAGACTGCTCGAATGTCACTCAACGAACACATGGCGGCACTTCGGTCCGCAACCAGCCGTGCGCAGTTTCGACTCCGAGGGAGCAGATCGAGGAGGGGGAGGAGGAAGGGAGGGAGGAAGAAAGGGAGAGGAGAGAGGAGAAAAAGAGACGGGAGTCGCGCCATTCCAACGTGCGGCTAGTTAGGCAATCTCAACTAATCAATGCTATACCAGACAACAGGCTGGCCAAGGAGCGCCTCACTGGTTGACGGACAAGAAGATGAGCCTGTAAAAGAAGTGCTTGTAGAAGCAGCCGTCCCCGAATAGGATGGAGGCCGATGGGCGATTGGAGACGGGTGCACATGTACAGGCACTGCCAATCGTCCGAGTGAGCAGCATTCCGCTCCGGGGCGCGCACCAAATTCTGGAGTGGTAATGGTTGTGGTGGCTGGGGTACGCCGAGAAGTATATGGGGTACACGTCGGAGCTGGCGGGCGTTGGAAGGTGGGTCGGGGGTGGATTCGTCGCCAGGGTCGGAGGCACCCGGGGTCGGCAATGGTTCGAATTCGTTGGGTGGGATGGTTTGTTGTGGGTCGGCTGTGGGTCGGTCGTGATTCGAAGTTATGCGTGGGGCGTTTGCTATGGAAACGCCCAAAAAAAGGTTGCAGAACAACTACAAGTTCCTCTGGTAGCAGTGTTGGTGTCGACGCTGGTGCAGGAAGTACTGTCGACGCGGAGGTCGGTGTCGCTATCGCCGTTGGTGTGAGTGATGGAACCGATGCTGGTGCCGCACTGCCCGTCTGCCGTGCGATAGTAGCATGGCTGGGCCAGCCAAGCTCGAACCTCGAGCCGTGCCCCTCGCGGTGCCTGGCCTGCGGCAGCGCGCCATGCCGCAGTGCTGGATGTCACCATGGTGCTCGACGCTGACAGTTCCGCTGTGGGATGTTGCTTACCGCGGACCTGTAGGCGACCGTCTCGCTTACCTACGCCGTTCTGATCATCTGCGTGCTGCGCATGTAGTCAACATCGCGTTGCCCGTGGCCATCGTGCGGCTCGACGGCCGCGTTGCTCAGCATCGTCGCGCTGGGGCGTCCGTCGCGCAGAGCGTCGCCGTGACATTCTGGGGGAGGCGGTTGCGGGAGCGGAAGCGGTCGTGGTATCCCAATAGTGGCGCTCCGCATCGCTGTGCTGCTGGCACCGCAGCCACAATTCGAACTTCCAGTGGTCGTCGCATTCCAGGAGCGGCTGGTCAACGCGGAGGTCGGTGGAGACCGGATGCCGCCACGCGAGCCGATTGGGCATCGAGTCGACCGACCCAGATACCGCCGCGCACGCCTGGGGGCAAATCTACACTGTTTCCGCGCGCCGTGCCATGCAACCGAATATACGTGATATTTGCTGTATGCGTGATGGGGGTGACGGACGCGAGGATGATGGCGAACTAACCCAGAAGCGGCATGGCGCCGATCATGAGGAAGGTGGTTCCGGCGCAGGAACCCGCAGGAGTCGGCGAGCGGGCCAGTGCGGGAGCCGCCAGGCTGGTCGGGGGCGGGAGTTGGCGAGCTGGTCGGCCCGGGAGTCGGTGATCTGGTCGGCGCGGGAGTCAGCGAGCAAGTCGGCGCGGGAGTCGGCGAGCTGGTCGGCGCGGGAGTCGGTGAGCTGGTCGGCGCGGGAGCCGGAGGAACCGGGACGACGCCGCGCACGCTGATTGGTACGAGACCGATGTTGCATCACAGCAGCAATTCGGCCCCTGACTTTCGCCCTGGGCTCGGTTTAGTGAAGTGATGAATTTCGGGGTCCCTACGTGGGAAAAAAACACCACTTCACTAATCTGAAGCCCCTGGGGCCTCAGTGGGCCCTGGGGCCCAAAATTAGTGAAGTGATGGTTTTCGGGCCTCGGAATTGGGCACCGAATCGACCGACCCAGATGCCGCCACGCACGCCCGAAAGAGCAATCTACGCGGTTTCCGTGCGCCGCGCCACGCCACATATTTAATATACGTGATCTTTCTGACGTACGTGGTGGGGACAACGGACAAGAGGAAGATGGCCAACTGATCCTGAAGCGGCATGGAGCCGATCATGAGGAAGGCGGTTCCGGTCGCGCCCAGGATCTGGAGGCAGGCGTCGGCGAGCCACTCGGCGTGCGAGTCGGTGTGCTGGTCGGTGAGGAATCGGGTCGGCGCGGGAGTCGGCGGGGTGGTCGGCGCGGGAGTCGGCGAGCGGGCCAGTGCGGGAGCCGCCAGGCTGGTCGGCGCGGGAGTCGGTGAGCTGGTCGGCGCGGGAGTCGGCGGGCTGGTCGGCGCGGGAGTCGGCGAGCTGGTCGGTGTTGGAGTCGATGACCAGGTCGGCGCGGGAGGCGGCGAGGTGGTCGGCGCGGGAGTCGGCGAACTGGTCGGCGCAACGGACTCGCGCCCCTCGGGACGGCGTGGCCACTGCCCGCAGCGAGGGATGGGGGTTGGCGAGCTGGTCGGCGCGCGCGGGGGCTCGCGACACCAAGCGTGGCGAAGCGAGACGGCCGTTGAGGCGCGACCGCCGCCGCTGCTGCGGCGGCAGTGCCACCGCACAATGTGTAATCCTTCGTATAAGCAGTACTGTTGCCCCCGTCCTGTGAAAAATCTCGCCAGCCCCACGCTGATCAATCATGGCCGTCGTCCCGACCATGGCCCCGCCAGCCCCGCGATGACAACTCATGCAAAGCGCCGCACCTGTTTCCGCCTGCATCGATTATAGTTTCCGCGTTGGCGCGCGCCCGGCCGTGACCGGACCGAACGCACCGTTGCTCGCGGGCGATCCCGCGGGCGCGGGATAGTTCGAGCATAGCGGCGACGGACGACGCGATGTGATTGGATGGCACTGCAGATGGAGGGAAAGAGACGGGAAGAGGGAGACCGAAGTGAACGAAGAGCGGGGAAACGAACCGAAGGAAGAGGAAACGGGCGGGAGAAAAAGAGGAAACGTAGGAGAAGGGGGTGGCGAGGAAAATGTAAGGAGCTTAGAAAGGTAGGGTAATAAGGATTCGCAGGAGAAGGAGGAAGCGTAGGAGAAGGAGGAAAGAGAAGCCGGATAAGCAAGATACGTAGGAGAAGTAAGATGAAGAGACGCAGAAACGTAGGATCAGTAGGAGAATGAGGAAACGTAGGAGAAGGAGCAGGTAGGAAAAGGAGGAACGGGAAGGGGACCCCTTCTGTCACAGAGGGCCTCCGGCCTTCCACGAAAAAGACCCCATCTGTCACAGAGGGGCACCATTGTCACCTAATTTCGGTGTTTGGGCCAATTAATGCTCAATCGACTCCAGGGTGCGGGGTACCCTGCACAGAACGCGCGTGTCATCACGTTGAAACCGACGAGCTGTGACCCAGCGGTTCCACATCGTGCTGACAACAACCGATTACACCCTCGGGCTTAACAGCGTGCTCAGCTGTCGAAGGTGAGGAAGAGCTTCCCGTCCGTGCCAGTTCTCCGTGCGCTGCCGGGCCCGAAATAAGCAAGAAATGTGGTCGGGCAGATTGAAGCCCCAGCGTCGGTATTCGTGCTGGGCGCGGAATTCGGCTGGCGGCGCGCGCGCCTGCAACTGTCGAGCGGACACGGTGGATTGGAAACGGGTGCGAGTGTGGCCCCAGTCCTTCGCGGTGTAGTGGGTAGAGCGCGTCGGTTCCACGGAGCGGTGCAACTCGGTCCCCAACAGCGTCGTCATGGCCGACAAGTTTGTGTCCAGTTGGAGGTGGCAGGAGTGCTGGAACCATCGGTCCCAGGGCTCGTTCTTGCAAGCGGTCGGAAGTCCCCAGTAGTGATCTGAGGAAGCGGGTGCGTCGGTTGAAAGTACAGCTTGAATTGGTGTTGTTGGGGGCGCGGGGGGAAGGGTCGGCCGGCAAGGGTGAGGGGGCGCGCGTGGTCGCTCGAGAGGTGGAAGTCCAAGGGGGTGCCTGGGTCAGCGGGGTGGTCGCCGCAGGCCGCGTCCCACAGACGTACGCGCAATTGTGTTGCTTGGGCGGCAAACCGAAGGCGTCGGAATGCGCCAGGGAAATAGCAGGAGCGCTGGAGCCACCATGGATCCTCCGGAATGGCGCAAGGCTTCTTAGAAGGAGGCTGCTTCTTAGAAGGGCGCCAGCCTTACATTTACAGACAAGGCCCGCGCCTTTCCCCCTCCCCCTACCCCCCTCTGCGCGCGGCCGAGGCCTGGCGCGCGAACCACTCCATCTCCCGCTGGTCCAGCAGCCCGTTGCCGTCCCTGTCCAGCGCGTCGAACAGCCGGCCGATGAGCCTGCGCCGCGCCTGCTCGCCCGCGTCCGCGCCGCGCGCGGCCGCAGGCGACGCCGCGCGCTCGCCCCTCGGCGCCAGCAGGAAGCTCCTGGAGCTCTCCCCGGGGGAGCCCTGCTCGACTGCGCCCGCCGCCCTCGCGCCCCTCGGCGCCAGCAGGAGGCTCCTGGAGCTCTCCCCAAAGGAGCTCTGCTCGACCACGACCGCTGCCCTGCCGCCCCTCCTCTGAGACGAAGCCAGGACGAGGCTTAAATCAGGTGAGGATGAATCGGGAATCTCTGAGATCCACCGGCTCTGGATGCTGTCTCCGGCGCCTCGGCCTCCTCAGAGCGTTCCGGAACGCTTGGAGAGCGTTCCGAAGCGCTCTGGAACGGTGTCATCCTCGTCCCAGCTCCGTCCGATCCTCGCTGCTGGCGAGCCCGCCGCGGGGCCCCGCGGCGCGCGGGCGGGCGCGATGACGCCGCTCGCCGTCGCGGCGGCTCGCACGGAGAGCCCGCCCGCCGGGGCGCCGGCCCTGGAGGGCCCGCCGCGGAGCCGGCCGCACAGGGCTGCGGCGGGCTGCTGGAGGTGCCGGAGCAGGCCCTGGAGCCCGTGCTGGTTCTGGGCCTCCGCGTCCTGTGGGGGCCCCGCCCAGGCAGGGCCCAGATCTGCGACGACGTGGCTGTTCCCACTAAATGCTGAGTATGGGGTTCTGGTCGTCCGTGTGGCGCCTCCTCCCCCTCCCTCTCCCCCCTCACACTCAGACTCGCTCACGCTCAGACTCACTCACACTCAGACTCACACTCAGACTTTTTCAAACTCAGGCACAATCCTCAGGCTCACTCGTACTCAGATGCACTCAGACTCAGATGACTCAGATGCCCTCACACTCGGACTCACATCTCACAATCAGACCCATACACACTCAGAGTCACTCACACTCAGACTTACTCACACTCAGACTCACTCACACTCAGAGTCACTCACACAAACCACCCATACCCAGGCTTGCCTCACACTCAACTTGTGAGAATGTCTCGAGCGAGGCGCTGGTTTCAGCAAGTCTAGGGGGAGCCGCCAGGTGGCATTTCACGGGCCCAGTTGTGTCCAGATGGTGGGGGGGTCTCGGGCGGTTTGCCTGTTTGGTGGCTTGGACTTCGGTGCTATCTGAACAGATTGCGAAGTTGTCTCGAGCGAGGCGCTGGTTTCAACAATTCTAAAGGGAGCCGCCAGAGGATATTTCACAGGCCTCTGGTCGCGCACAGATCGTGGGGATGTCTGTGGCGGCTTGCCTGTTTGGTGGCTTGGACTTCGGTGATTTCTGAGCAGATTGTGAGGATGTCTCGAGCCAGGCGCTGGTTCCGGCAATGCCACGGGGAGCTGCCAGGAGGCATTCCACGGGCCTGCTCGCGTTCAGAGCGTGGGGATGTCTCAGGCGGTTTGCATGTTTGGTGCCTTGGACTTCGGCGCTTCCAAAATACCTTGTGAGGATGTCCACAACCAGGCGCTGGTTTCAGCATCCCGCGTAGGGGGGGGGCGCCAGAGGATACTTCACGGGCCCACGTGCGCCCAGGCTGTGGGGATGTCTCAGGCGGTCTCTGGGTCTGGTGGCTTGGGCTTCTTTGCTTTCAGAGCCGATCGCGAGAATGTCTCGGGTGCAGCGGTGGTTTCAGTGCCTCAGGCGGCCAAATCGTGGGGATGTATTGAGCGAGGTGCTCGGTTCTGCACCTTCGACTCCTGCCCAGTCAGGGCCCCATGATCACTTCGATGTGGGGAGAAGGAAGGCCGCCAGGACGGAGGATTGGAGGACGGAGGAGGAAGGAGGAGGGAGAAAGAGAAGGGAGGGGACACGACGACGAGGAGCATGAGGAAGGAGAGAAAAAGGGGCCTGCCCATCTGTCGGTCTATGAGTTGTCGTCGTCGCTGTCCTCCATCGTAGGCGCCGCCGCCGCTATCGTCGTCGTCGTCGTCGTCGTACTCGTCGTCGTCGTCGTACTTGTCGTCCGCGAAGACTCACTCTCACGCCCTGACGCTCACGGCAAACACTCACAGCGGGACGTGCCAAGAAATGTGATGCAAATATATCTCCGCGTCGAATCAATTCAATCCTGGTTTTGTTCCGTGACTTTGGCCTCATGGGGGCCCGCTACGGGGTCCCGGGACTTCAAAACTTGATCGGGAACGCGAAACTACCCCCAGGAAAAGGGTCGTGAGCTCCCAGGGCCGCGGGTTTTAAAACATGGGATCGGCGGATGTCAGGGACTGTTTCTCCCGCAGCGAGATTGCCTGAAGGGTCGCTCGCTTCGTCAGTATCGATCCGAACGCCAAGGGAGCGGTACACAGGAATCCCTCCTGTGCGTGAACAAGATCGAGAGGGGGAGGACTGGCCGCCATGCCGCGGCGGATGTCACACAGGAGCAAAGAAAAATAAACATCAACTTTCGGATCTCCGCGCGGCTCTCTTGGATTGGGGCTGGACCCCCCTTCCTGGCACGCGGAGCGCGCCAGGGGCGGCGCCCGAGGCGCAGCCAGGGGGTTCCATCGCAGATGCAAGAACTCCGAGCGGAGCTCCGAAAGTTTATGTCGCCGCGCTGTTCGTTCTGAACGCGCCCAAGTGGACGCCTCCGACATCACGGCCAAAACTGGCGGCAAACCCTGCGCCCCGCGCCCCAAGTAGACGCAGCCGGCGCCACTGCAAACCCCACGGCGAAGCCACCGTGTCCGAGGCGGACGTTTCCCTGGTTGCAGCGGCGCCTTCCTTGGTGGCGCGCACAATGGAGTAAAGGGAGGGGGAAGGCTTCTTAGAAGGAGGCCACTTCTTAGGAGGCGAGACGCCTTCCCCCCTCCTCCTACCCCCGTCTGCGCGTGGCCAACATCCCCAAGACGCAATGCCGCGCGTCGGAACAAACGGCGCGGCGACATGTTTGTACCGTGCCTTCTTCTTGTTAGCATTATCCTTCTTCTTCTTCTTCTTCTTCTTCTTCGATGTCAGGGCGCGGGGCTGGCGCAGGCGGGCTCGGAAGGTGCGGCGCGACCCCTCCGGCCCCATCTGCTACGGCCCCATCTCTGAATGGCCTGAGGCCGCCCCCCTTTCGGGGATATACTGACCCGAGTCAATGCAAACCAGGATCAATCAGGCCTTACAAAATCCTGCGCGCTAGCCCGGGTCAGTGCAACCCTGACTCTGCAGGATCCTGCAAGATCCAGCGCTCTGGCTGACCACCATTTGCATTGACCCCCGTCTCAAGGCCCACGATCCCTCCCCCTCCCACTTTTGCCGGCTGTATGCTGTAAGCGACGCGAATCAAATGATTAAGATACAAATGCAAAAACACGGGTCCCAATCTCTGGCCATCAGGTCTGACGGCTGGCGATTTGCTTCTTGGGTGTTCCGGCCCAGACTTATGCGCGAGACTTACGCCCAGACTTTTGCGCGAGCCGCTTTTCTCTCCCCCTCCTCCTCCTCCTCCTCCTCGTCCTCCTCTTTTTCTTCCTCCTCTTCCTCCTCATCGTCCTCCTTTTCTTCCTCCTCCCTCATCTTCGTGTCGTTTGGGGTGAGTAGTAGGTCGGCGCTGGTTGTGTGTGCTTATTGTACCCGTTGTGGCCCACTGGTTGCCACGTAGAGCTCTTGCCGTTTCCATGGTGCTGCTGGTGCTGTTGGTTCCCTTTACCTTTGCCTTTGGCTTGGGGTGGTGGGGGTTGTCCATACATCTCTGCTGTTGTAGGTCGTGTCGGTTGTTGTGCGCTGTGGCGTTGGTTTAGTAGGTGCTGTGCTGCTTGTAGCTGTTGACGCGTGGTGTGGTCCAGAATCGTCCTTGCCGAGGCTAGGTACTCTCAGTAATGTTATTTCTGTTGCTCTCCTCTCCCTTTCCCTGCGATGCCAGGCGGGATTTGGAGATGTGTTTGAAATCGTGGTGGAGAAGAGCCTGGCCGAGTGGAGCGGCCGTTGGAAGCTACTAGGTCTGGGCGTTAAACGTGGTCGTCGATGCCCTGGTCGTGCTTGGCCAGCTGGCCCAGCAAGTGGTGCAGCGTAACGCGGGAGATAACCAACATGAAATAGGTGAAAGGTAAGAGCTGTAAGAGAGTAGTGGTATGGAAATTAAGCTGAAAGATGGGATGATGGGGAATCGTGGCCGATGGATCGGCGCACTGCCACTGACGCGCCCAAATCGCTTGGCGGATCATGGCTCTCCTCCTGCTCCTCCTCCTCCTCCTCCTCCTCTTCCTCCTCCTTCCCTGCTCCTCCACTTCCTCCTCCTCCTCCTCCTTCTCATCATCATGCTCCGATCTCCCTGCCTGCCTGCCGCCCTCCCTGCCGTCCTCCCCCCCTCCCTCCCCCTCCTCCTCCTCCCCCTCCTCTTCCCCGTCCTCATCTTCTGATTCCCCGACGTCCCTGCTCCCTGGAGAGCTCACGGCGGGCTTTCGCTCGCCCCGAGCCTGGATCAGGGGGACCCTCAAAGGTCGGCCCGGCTCGGGAGCAGCGTGCGCAGAGGTGGGCCGAGAGCTCCCGTCCTGGCTTGTTCCCGACGCTGTGATCGCCTCACCCCGCCAGATGTCGGGGCTCATCATCTCCTCCCTCCGCGCTCCTGCATCATCCTTCCCTCCCTCTCTCCCTCCCTCCCCATCACGCCTCCAGCCGTCGCTGAAGGCCGTCCAGCAGGAGATCCAGGTCGCGCTGGTCGCGCTTTCGACATTGGTCCCAGCCGAGCTGGCGTTGCTCGGCGATGCGCAAGCTCTTGTCGAGCCTCTTGACCGAGTCTTCCACCGCTGAGATGCGGCCGCGGCAATGCCCAACCTCGCCCAGGCACTCGTTGAGCCTCCTTCCGTGCTCGCCAGCGGTCTGCTCGACCAGTCTTCTCAGCTCGTCCAGCCGCTGGTCTGCCGAGTGCGCGCGGCGTGCCGCGCCCTCGCACGCCGCGAGCCGCTGCTGCCAGGAGTCGAACGCCGACCTGTCCGCAAGGACCTTATCGCACGACTCCTGCAAGCGCTCGACGTCAGGAATGAGCCGGGTAACCTTCGGCTCCAACGTGAGTTCAATCATTCCAAAAAAAAGAACAGCGCTGGGGCCAATGATAATACATGCTTGAGTGGCCCAAGACCGCCAGACCCATGTCTCTCGACATCACGCGAATCATAGCAAGCGGCAGGAGCCTGAAACCCGCAGCTCGGCAGCCGCCGCAGCCGCGGGAGAATGATGATAGATCTTTCGCCAGCAGGAGCACTGTTCCCCCCCTTGAGAGGACGGGGGGTGGCCTTTCCTTTCGAATTCCGGGAATAATTTGACGTGCCCTTTGCCGAGGGTGCCCTAAGCCACGTTATGTATCAATTGTGGGGCGCCCCCCCCCCAACCCTCAACATCTCCAGACCTCTTCGGGTTCCCTGCAGGGAGACCGAAGAGAAGGGGCGCCCTGCTCCCGATGCGGCGCATCGCTCAAGGGACACCTCGGCGACGGGACACCCTGCTCCCAATTGCTCGGGCACGCTCTTCTTCTGCGTATGCTTTTGTCCGCGAGGGCTGCTGGAAGGAAGCGATCCCAAAAACAGCTCCGCATGGGGAAACGGCCTGCACGGGTCGGAATCAAGCGGGCGGACCCGTGAAGAAACGCACAGAACAAGTTAATCTGCACATCCGGGCGACGTCTCCAGACACAGGTCCGCGGCCTGGAACCCCCGACCCCTTAGTCTTGCGTCCCAGGTCCATCTCCGCTGGGCCCTGGGCCCGATACTACGCGAGGCCGAAACGAAGGAGACATGCCACGATCGAGCAAAGAGCACATCGTCGGAGATCTGGGCCCCGCCCCCCTGCACCGCCCCCAGACCCCCGACGTCGTGATTGGTTTCACAACGTCGACCCCCGAGAGGTCTGGACCCCTTCCCCGGGGCCTGTTTTCCATCCCGAGTCGGTTTTGGACGATGCCGGGGCGCGGTGAGGCACCCCAGAGGCCGAACATCGCGAGAAACCTCCCGTCGTGATTCCTTCGCAGCGTGAGGGGGTCTGGGCCAAAGCCTGCTCCGCCAGCGGCCCAGACAGGCCCCGGGCGCCCTCGAGGCGCTGCTCCACCGCTGCCACGCGCTGCGCGACGCCCTCCCGCCAGGCCTGCTGCCTGGCGCGCTCGGCAGAACGCTGCTCCTCCGCTCGCCGCTCGGAGGCCTCGAGGCGGCCGAGGAGCTTCCGCTCCAACGCGTCCGAGGCGTCCTGCAGCCGCTGGGACCAATCCCGCAAGGCCTCCTCCCTGGCCAGCTCCTCGGAGAGGAGACAAGGCCTGACATCTGGGCGTTGCAATTTTCTCACACTGGGCGCTTTCGCCCGGCTTCGGGCCCCGGGGCCATCCGAGACCGATCCGGCTCGAAAAATGGAGCAGAATAATAGGGTCTGGGGCTCAAGTCGTGAATTTTCGCGACGTTGCCATGTGTTCGCAACGTGGGATCTCAGGGAACGTCCCGGTACGTACCGACGGTGCCCTCTCCAGCGTCCCGGCCCCTCTGGGCCTCTCTGGGTGCCCTCGTCGCCGCGGCTGGATTCGCCTCGGAGTCCGGGTCTAGTCCGAAAGCACCCCTCGCCATCGCTCGGACGTCCATTCCCCGTGCACGGTTTGGTTTCGTGCTTTTTCTGCCCGGTCTGATCCAAGATTCTCCACCGGGCTTTCTGGCGCTGGCTTCGCTGGGAGAGATACACACGCTTCCGAGCGATGCCAACCCCGGAGAGGTCTGCAGAGCTGGTGGAATCGGTGACGTGCTGCTACCCCAGCTCCTGGTCAGCCAGCCCCTTCTGGCGCATCTCCTTCACGCTCTCCTTGGAGCCAGCACGGCGCAGAATTCGATCGCCCGCGTCTCGTTCCGTCCAGCTCGCTCCGACGGTTCTCGCTTCCCCCGCACACCATCACGCTCAATCTCGCCTCGTCCGCCGCAACTTCATCTGCCTAATTACTCTCGCTGCGTTCGCGTCCCAACTTCATTGACGTCGCTCGATTCGGCCGCGTCTCGCTTCGCCCAGGTCTCGCAAACGGATGGAAGGAGACCACCTTCCCGCCAGGGCCCGTCCAGCAGCCTGTCAAATTCGCCCCACGAGTCTGCCGTATACGGCCCGCCTGGCCCACCCGCAGGTCCCGCCTGTCCCGCCCAGGTGTCAGTGTCCCCAAACATCCGGCTTCGCCACTTCTTTCTACGCGTGGGCCCTGGAGGTCCGGACCACTTCCCTAGGGCCAGCTCTGCATCCCGAATAATTCTTTGACGGTCCCGGGGCCCGGCGAGAGCCCCTGGAGGCCGGAAACGGCCAAAAACCTGCCGCTCCAATTTTTCCGGAGCGTCGGATCTCTGGGTCCGCACGCCCGCCCAAGGCTCGCTCACCCGCCAGGGTGCGCCCGCCAGGTCGCCCCAGGACCCGCTGGCTCCGCCCGCGTGCTCGGGTCTGCCCGCCCGCCATCCTTCAGGCCCACCCACCTCGCGCGCCAATCCGCTCGCCCAGGAGGATCGGAGCTCTGCCCACTCACGTCACGGTCTGCAAACACGAGTTTCTGCGCAAAAGCAGCAGGGAAGGAACAGCCGCCAGACGGGGATGGGACGGGTCGGGAGGATGGGTATGGGGCAGGAGCGCCGCGCAGGGGGCAACTGACGCAGAAGCAGGCGTACAGGAGTGCCGGGTGCCCGGGTGCCACGCCCCTCGCCGTCTCCCGCAGCTTGCCCGCGGCCGCCTCGCGTTCGGCGGCAGCCCTGCGCGACTCCTCCGCCAGCATCTCGTCGACGCGGCGGGACAGGTCGCCCAGGCCGTCGATGCTCGTGGCCGCCGCCCGGTCGAGGGCGCTGGCCAGCGCCGCCTCCCGGGCGTCCAGGCGCGCGTCCAGCCCACGCAAGAAACCGTGCAGCTCCGCGTGAAGGCTGCCAGAGATACCCGCGAGCGCGCCCGCCGTGCCAGGGAGGGCGGCGGGCGCCGCCGCCGCGGGCGGCGGCGGCTGCCAGGCGAGGCTCCCGAAGACCCCCAGGGTGGCCAGGGAGGACTGGAAGGCCGCCTCCGGGGGGGGGGGCAAAAAAGGTACAGATGTATGAGGCGTTCCAAAAAGGGCCTGGCCCTCCAGGATCGAAGGAATTGTATTTTTTTCTTCGGCGGGGGGCGGCGGAAGGGCGGCGGAATTAAAACGAGGCCGCCTCCGCTGGCGGAAGGCGGCGGGAATAGAAGATGTGTCCCCAAGTGATGACAATGCGTTTTGGGTCAGGGTTGCCGAGCTCGCCCATGCACAATTGTTATGACCATAACTATAATTATATGTATATATACGTATATATATACATACAAACAAACAAACAAACAACCAACCAACCAACCAACCAACCAACCAACCAACCAACCAACCAACCATACATACATACATACATACATACATACATACATGCATGCATGCATGCATGCATGCATGCATACATACATACATACATACATACATACATACATACATACATACATACATACATACACACATACATACATACATACATGCATGCATGCATGCATGCATGAATGCAAACATACATACATAAACACATCCATACATATGATGTGCACACATGCAAACATACACGCATACATACATACATGCTGAACACACATACATACATACGTACACACATACACACATGCATGCATACTTACGTACAGCACACATACATATATACATACCTATCTACGTAGATACATACATACAACCATGCGTGTGTACATGCAGCCATACATATACACACCGATGTGCATCTGAAACTGATGTATGTGTACATACATGCATACAAGCAAACAAACAAACATACACATATTCTCATGATGATACATCCTGCATGGAACTTGCCCCCCTACCCCCGGATGTCCACCCCCCTCGGAAAATCCCGGGACCCCTCTCGGACGGCCTCCCCCTGGCCCAGAATACATTTTCGGACAACCCCCACGGTTTGCCGGGCCTCCCTGGCTAGACAGTCGCACTCCTTTTGACGCTGCGGACGGCCCAAGTGGCCTCGCAGCGACCCCCGACGCGGACAAGAAGGCTAGAGGACGGCCTCCAAATGGCCCTAGGACGGCCGAAGCACGACCCAACGCCTCCCAGTAGGCCCTAAGAGACACCCAAGAGATTCGCGAGGAGCAAACATCGATGACTTCCTCCGGGTGTTTAATAGATTTTAGCGTCTTCGCTTTTTCTGGTATCCTTTACGCCACGAAAGCCCCGCGAGCTTCCGAGATCGCCCCAAAACAACCCATGAAGCTTCCGAGACGGCCCCGAAACGACCGAAAACGGCACCAACGCGGCCCAAGAGGCCCAAGAAACTCCAGAGACTGCCCCGGGACAGCCCAAGAGAGCACCATGACGGCCCTAGACCCCAGAACAGCGCCCGAGGACCCGAACGCGGCCTAGGAGGGCCCCAAAACTGCACGCGAGGCCCTCAAACCGCCCCAGGCGCCTCCAACAAATCCCCAAAATGCCCCCGAATGGCCGCCTACACAACCCAACAGGCCCACCTCCTCCTCCTTTCCCGGACGCCTCGCTGCATTGTACTGTCCACGCAAGCTCGAAGGGCAAGGGGACGAGGGACAGAAGCCGAAGATTTGGAGGCCAGCGATTCGATCAACGCGAATCGTAGGGTACGTCAGCAATTCCGCAAAGCCTGCATAAACCTCGACGCCCTCACCGTCGCGACCCAATCCCCACGGTTCCCACCCTCGCCCCTGCAAGATTATCACCGTGACCCCCCTTCCGCCGACTTCTCGACGGCCCCATTTGCGTTCATGATTTGAGCCCCGTACCACAGCGATGACACAACCTCCATCCAGGTACGATGTGACTGCGGCTCCTCTCGGGTCGTGACCTTCACCCCTCTTGCGCTCATCTCACTGGTTACTGTTCCAAACCATCGGCATCGTGGCCCCAGTCCAGGCCCCGCTGGGCCATGACCTTCGCCCCGTTGGCGGCCGTGACGTAAGCGCCCATCGACCGCATAGTCGCCCCCCGAAGTGGGATAATGACATACCCCGCCATCGCGCTCCTCACCTTCGCCCTCGTGGCAGCCCTGCCTGTCCCTCATGCGATGAACATGCCGATGCGCTTCATCCAGCCAATGACCCGCAGACCCCTCGTGGCCATAATCTTGACGCAACGATGTGGCCTTCTGCAGCCGCCCGGCAACGCTTGGTCGCAGGACCAAGATTTGAGGCGAAGCGACGCGAGCTGTCAAGTCTGGAATTTGTGTATGCACATACATACATGTATGTGTATGCACCTAGATATGTGTATAAATGTGTGTAAGCTTCCCTGCTTGTCTGCATGCCTGTCTGTATGTCTGTCTGGCAGCAAGCAGGCATGTACATAAGTACGTATGTTTATGACGGTGTATATATGTGTATTTATGTATATGTATACACATATACGTATATGTATGGATAAATGGTTGGATGGATGTATTGATGTAGGCTTGTAGGTATCAGTGTATGTGCGCATGCATGCATATGTGTGCGCTATGTAGGTGTGCGGGCACACTTGCATTGCAGACATGCATGCTTGCATGTAGGCGCGGTGGTATGTATGTGTGTATGTATGCATGTATGTATGTCTGTATGTATGTATGTATGTATGTATACAGACGGGAATGCATGTATGCATGTATGTGCGCGTGCATGGTTATAGCTGTGTATGTAGTTGTGTAGGTATGCACGTATGTACGTATGTATGATTGTAGGTGTGTATGAAGGTGTGACTGTATGCATGTAAATCTGTATGATGGCATACATGTATGGTTGCATGTATGTATGCATGCATGCATGGAACTATGTTTGTTTGGATCTATGAATGCATACATGCATGCATGCTTGCATGTGTGTATGTATGCATGTTTGTACGACTTGATTATTTACATGTGCGTGTGTGTATGTGTAGGTGTGGGTCTGTATATCTATATATATATAGAAATATGTAACTACCGCTGCTCCCCGAGAGGCCTCCCAAAGTGGATCCGAGTAGATGGGAATCCGCTAACCCCATGTACTCGGACCCCAGTTGGGTGGCCAAGATCCCCAGGCCTCTCCCCGGGGCGCGCTCTGACACGGACTTCGAGGCGACCCCAGCCGCGGCGACGAGGGAAGTGTGTAGCGGTATCGGTGCCATTTCCATCCTCGATGGGGGGACAGAAAGATACCGTTGCCACTGCTCGCTGGACCTCTCCCAGGGTGCGTTCTGACCACGAGTTTGAGGCGACTCCAGCCGCGGCAAGGAGGGAAGTTCATAGCGGAGGAGGCGGAGCAGGAGGAGGAGTGCACGTAGCTTGAGGAGGAAGATGATTTTATCTGTCCCCATCTCAGACCAGTTCTGTTCTCTCTATCTCTCTCTTTCCCTCTCTCTCCCTCTCTCTCTCTCTGTTGGTGCGTGCACCTTTCGCCGCCCGCTGCCACTCCTGCACATAAAGAACTTTGCAAGTGCTCGGGTTTTCTCAACAAGGACCCGTCATCTTCATTCCATCCAGGGCTGATGGAGGCCAGCGGGCAGCTTTCTCAAAGCAGGAGGAGAAGGAGGAGGAGGAGGAGCAGGAGGAGGAGGAGCAGGAGGAGGAGGAGGAGCAGGAGGAGGAGCAGGAGGAGGAGGAGCAGGAGGAGCAGGAGGAGGAGAAGCAGGAGGAGAAGGAGACCTTTTCCTCCTTTCAGCCTCCCGCGCGAGGCCAAGAGCGGCGGGCAAGGCAGCGGAGCGCTCAGGCGGCTGGCCCAGCGCCTCTGGGCGTTGCTTACTGGGGGGGGGACGGTACCCTGACCTTCCAGGAGGGCTAGAAAAGAACACCAGGACCTGAACGTCCAAATTCCTGTTGAGGTTTTGGGGGAGTCCGGATGGCGGGTTCCGGAAACACCGAACCCAAAAAGATGGTCATCTCTTGGGAAATCGGATTTTGCTCCTGCCGGCTTCCGCAGGCTTTCCGCCAGCTCCCGCTGGCAGAGGCGGCCTCGTTTTACTTCCGCCGCCTTCTGCCGACGTTCCGTTGCCTTCCGCCGAGGACGAAATGACAACTCTTCGATCCTCGAAGGCGAGGCCCTTTCTGGAGCGCCCCAGGTAGTCTGGAGGGCTATTTTTCGCACTCTGGAAAGGCAGGGTGAGCGGGGGGGGGCGAAGAAACCTTCAACGTGCGTGCCCATGTCCAGACCTCCAGTGTCTCGAAAAACTCAAGGCGGACGTTTTTCGCTGTTTTCGTTGGGCGTCGCCTACTGGGGGGAGCGATGACTGGGGGGGTGGAGGAAGGTGCATGTTTCGGGCTCTGGAGGCCCCCCTTTGGGCCCCTCAGGGCCCCTCCAGGGGCCCCAAAGGGCCCCTTGTCTGCAGCCCTCGCTGCACCCCCTTGATCGCCCCCCCATGAATAAAGCAACACCCGGTGTCGGCCTCTGGGGGCACTCGCCGGGCCCCGGGGACCGTTCAAGAGCGCCTCAGGAGGAAGAGCGGGCCCCGTGAAGAGGACCCGACCTCTGAGGGCCCTGTATATTGAGAAACTCGATGTGCATCGGATGTCCGGGCATTGGGCCCCTTCCGGGCCCCTCACACACATACAAGCCGCACATCCCGCAGGACGCGTTGGCACGACAACCGTTGAAGGTCGCCGAGAAATTCTCACACTGCAACACAGATTCACGTTGGGGGAAAAACCAGCAGAGGAGAGAAGACAAAGACGACCACACTATATAGTGAACCAAGAGTGAATATTTCTTCGCCCTCCTCGAGTCGCCCCTTCCGTGCCCCTGTTGGGCCCCGTGGGGCCCCCTCAGGGCCCCATGGCGCACAAAGGGTGCACCGGGTCAATGCACCCTTTCTCACCCCCCCGACGACGCGGAAAAAATGCATCGCCATGAAAATCACGACAGGAGCCCCGGATCCCATCTGTCTGCGGCATTTTTCAAGCCGCATCGATCAGCGCGGGTCCCGAACCCCCAAATGGGGCGAAGACGCCTGGCTCGACAAAGTCAGAACGCCAGGATCTCAGGGCCCCCATTGCATCGCCCCCCATCCTTTGAGCTGGACTAGTTGGTCTGGCGCAGATGGGTCCGCGGGGAGAGGTGCAATCGCACTTGCAATAGTTGGTGCCTGGATGCAGCGGCTTGCGCGCTGGATGCAATAGTTTTGTGTGGATTCACGTGTGCTTCTTTTTTAAATGCTATCGCTGTCGCCCGTGCAATCAATAATTAGCGCCCCCCCGCAACAGTTGCGGATTATTGCGCGCAAGAGCACGCAACTGATACACGGTTCCGCCTGTCGCCGCCGACCCGTCTGCGCCAGATCCCCCCCTACTCCAGCTCAGAAGTGCGCAGCGCCCGACGCCTCCAGGTTCGCCATTGTCCGCTCCAGGTGCCAGGCAAACCGCCCAGCCTCGGCGCTCCTGAGGGGCAGCCACAAAGGGGGGACTGGCACAGGGGGGGGGGGGGATACCTCGACCTGGAATCGGCGATGCATCGCCAGTAGATCGCCGATGGGCCCCAGGTAGCAAGTCTCCTAGACAGGCAGGCCCCCGTGGTAGATGAATGGGCGATTGGGGGTCGATGCGCCCCCCGCCCCCCCCTGGGGCTTGCTCCCCCCCCTAACTTTGCCTGCAAGTCTTCGGATCATCACTCTGCTCCACGCCGGCCGGTCGGGACGATCCGAACACCCCACGAACGCCCTCGACGAGGCGCAGCTGCTGCAACGCACCCCGAGGCTGGAAAACCGCCGAGAACCGACGAAGGCGCGCGAAAACCTCGATCCTCGATCCACGGCGCTCCTGGGGCGACCGCGGGGGGCCGGCGCAGGGCCTGCGGCCAGGGCCTCGGCGCGGGCGGCCATCCCGCGGGAGCGGCCGCCCGGAGCCCCTCGGCGGCTGGAGGCTGCGTCGGGCGCGGCCTCCGAGGAGGGGGGCGCGGGCTGCCTCGGCGACGGGACTTGTTCTTTGTGTGTGTTCTTTTTTAAGTTTGTTTGCCTTTTTGTTTGTCTTCTTTTCGGGACTCCCCCTCCCCACGGTTGTACGTTTCAAGCGTGACCCTGGCCCGGACGTTTTGGCAGACTCGGTGCCTCCTGGCTTGTGTGCGGAGGCGTGCTTCAAACAGCTGTTGTGGAGTGTTGCCTCGGCGGTGGGACTCTGGGACTTCGGGACACGGGGGCGGGCACAGGCGCTGGACTTCGGCGGCGAGCCCAGGGGGGAATGTAGAGGGGGCGGGCCTTTTCAGAAGACTCGGCAAAGGAGAAGGAACAACGGCATAAACAGAAACTTTCGGAAGTCCGCGCAGATTTCTTGGATCCGCGCTGGGCCCCCCTCGCTGGCACGCGGAGCGCGCCAAGGGCGGAGCAGGAGGCGCCGCCAAGGAGGGCCAAGTGCCGATCCGAGAAATCTGCGCGGAGCCCCGGAAGTTTGAGTAGCACCCCGCAGCTGCGGATAAGAGTGAGGGGCGGGCGCGGGGTGGGTCGCGGGCGGGTCGCGGGGCGGGTCGCGGGCGGGTCGCGGGCGGGTCGCGGGCTGGGTCGCGAGCGGGACGACGACAACAACAGCGCAACGCAACGCAACGCAGCAACAATCCGCACCGCGGAACCCCACTTCAGCCATGCACCGAAGGACAATGAATGACCCTTCGGCCTCCTCGCTCTAATGCTTGTGCAGCTTTCTCCTTTTCGAAGGAAGGCCTCGCGCCTGCCGAGAGGTTCTCTGAAACTTCTCCACAGACGGATGCGAATTCTCAGAAGGCCCGAGGGTTCGTGGGCGGCCATCCTTCGGGGGGGCCGCCAGGAGCGCCCAGGGGGGGGCTGGTGGCTGTGGTGGGCGCGGCCCCCGAGGAGTGGGGCGCCAGCTGCCTCGGCGGCGACTTGGGCAAGAGCAGTGTCAAGGACACGCCGCCAGTGGGAGCCTATCAGCACGGTGCAGGGAGGATGTCAACACGCGGGAGTTCTAATACATGGGATCTTCATCGAGCACGGTCGTAGTAGACTGGGGGGAATGGCATCTTTCGCGCGCGCGAGCCCGAAAACATGCGATGTTTCGAACGCAGACCCAAACAATGGTAAATATACGGTCGCAGAGTAGGAGAACCAGGCCCAGGCGGGCGCGCGCGGGAATACATCGGAGCAGTACTGCATGCTCGTAGACTCGACAAAACCATCTACCTCGCGCGCGCGCACGCCATGCATTGAGAACCTCCCGGTGCAGTTGAAGGAACGTCGGGCCTCCGTTCAGAGACGATGGAGTAACACGCGGAAGGGCTACCAACGGCAGCGTGCCATCGATGCTCTTGATCCCTCCCTCGGCGACAGGGCGGGAGGGGCGGAGCGGGCTGCCTGGGCGGCGGGACTGTGGGACCTCGGGGCACGGGGGCGGGGCACAGGAACTGCCACCCGCCCAGAAGAGAAAGTCATAGACGTAGGCATGGGATCACGTGGCATTCTCTGGACCGCTGTGATGTCGCGCTGAGGCCATGAGGTCCGCGGCCCCCCTGCCCCGCTTCCAGTGTTGGCGGGGGAGGCTGCAGAGCGCAACTCATGGGGCAAGCTGTGGTTGGGGGCTGGGAGCGGGGCGGCCAGGCCTGAATCGTCCCATCAAGTTCTTCGTCCGGGAACATTGTAGAATGCCGGTGCGCGCATACTTGCAGGACTGCGACCGTCTGGGGAACGATCCCAGCGTTGCCGATGCACTGTGCATGTGCCCGCCCGCCGCAACTGGGTGTTAACCAGCCTCAAACTTATCCCTATCCGTCAGATCGCCAAGCCCAAGGCGATGATCATCTTAAGGATGTGTCCTGAGAAACCGAGGGGGTCCTCAAGATCGGCACCGAGGTAAAGCGATGCCAGACATAGGGATAGGGTTATGTTTCGAGCTGGTAAGATGTTGTTAGTGCATCCTCGGGAGGGGGGGGGTCGCGAGGCGGGGACGCGGATGCCAGGTCGAGGAAAGGTGTCCAGACCTCCGATACCATGGTTATTTCACGACGTCGGGAGCTCTCGACTCTCGACCAGACCGGGGGGGGGGGCGCGAGACGGGGAAGTACATGCCAGATGCGCGACGGGAAGAACTATTGTGCTGCATCTTCGGAGAACCTTGTCTGTCCCGTCGCGCCGCGATTCGCGTCGAATCTGCGCCGAGCACGCCGAATCGGCGTCGAGTCCACGTGGAACCCGCGTCGCATCCGCGCCGACCACGCGACGGACAGACGAGGTCCCCCGACAATGCAACGTAAGAGAAAGGTCTTTTGCAAGAAACCCTGGCGACGTTACGCCGCGGCTTACGCGAGCCGCCAGCGTGGGGAAGAGGGCGCCTACGCGTGACCCTACGCGGGAAGCTCACGCGCCAATGTCCACGCAGGTGGACCCGTTTTCTCGCGTCGCCCAGGTCGAGGGCCTTCGAGGGTGCCCAGACCTGCGACGCCCTGGCTCGTCCACGACGCCGGGAGTTCTGGACCCGTCGGCTTTTCGCGGGGAGCGGTCGTTGGTGGCGCTGGAGTGCGAAGACGTCCCCCGAGATGCTGGCATGGCAGTGTACAGCGCGCGGTGCTGTTCCCTGACACCCTGAGTATGGGATGCTTGTGCTCTGCGGGATGCCTCAACCTGCCACCCTCGGCCTCCCGCCCTTCCCTGCTCTTCACTCACAACCATATTCACGCACACTTAGACACACTCACACTCAGACTCACTCACTCCCCTCACGCTCAGACTTGGAGCCGCTCACCCAAACTCAGACTCAGTCCACGATTTGTCCCAACTTGGGCAAGCTAGTATGCCCGCATCATGCGGCGATGCAAGCGGTAACGGAGATGGTGGGCAGGAGGAGGTGGAGGAGGGGGAGAGATGAGGAGAGGAGAAGGAGGAGCGGGAGCTGGGTAAGGAGGGGGAGCGGGAGTCTGGCGGACTGTGCCCCGCTCGGTCTGCATCCTGTGGCCTCACGTCTTGTGGCCGCCCTCGGGCGGCTGGGGGCCAGCCTCGTCAAAACCTCACCGCTGCCCGTGGGTGCCCTGGGCCACACTTCGCGGCGCCAGCCGCTGGAGGCTGGCCTGGCCCGCCTGGACTCAGGACGGCATGGCTCCGCCAGCACTCGCGACATGCTAATCGTTCCCTCGAGCGGGGCGAGGGCCGCCACTCGAGCAGAACAACGCCGGGATCTGCCTGTGGGCACGGACCCCTGCGCACATGGAGGAGCAACGCACGAATTGGCGTGCACCGCACCCTGCCTTTAGCATGGAAAGAAACAGTTCCTGAGGAAACGGGTCTTGGACTCTGGGGTCCTCCCCCAAGACCACGTATCCTGAGGGAAACAGGTCTTCATTCTGGGTCGTGTTCTGGGTTGTGCCGGTTCCTATCAGGGCCCCACGAGGCCGAAAACGGCGAGAAACCTCACGACGTTTCCCTCATGGCACCCTTCCTTCATGGCGGCATGCTGGCGGGCGCCCCTTGGCTCTCCTGGCAGCAGCGGCGCGAGACGCGGGAGCCAGTCCGTCCACCTCGGCCCTTGGGCCGCACAGCGTGGATCGTGGCCGGCGAAGCCGCATCTAGAGAGAGACATCCTTCAGTTGCTCAGGCCGAGGCCGACGGCGCTTGACACACCTGGCCCGCCCGAGGGCCGAGCCAGCCAGCGACCTGCCTGTCGAGCTAGTCCGCAGCTGTGCGGTCGGCCTTGCCGGGCCATGGTTGCCCTCGGCCCGCTCCGCGCAGCGCAGGCGACGCGGCCTTGCCCTCCTCTGGGGGGCCCGAAATCGTGAGGTGGCAGACCGCGTGGTGATCACATGGCCTCACCGCACGATCCGTCAACGCACCTTCTTGGGACCTCAGAGGCCCCACTCGCCCGAGACGTCCTCGGAGGACGACCCGAGTCCCAAACCCGTGCCGCCCCCGACTCCTGCAGCAGGCGTGACCGCGCCGCCGGCTGCTCAGGCCGGCCCAGGCAGCGCGACGACAGGGTACCCGATGCGGAGGAGCCCGTCCTCCAGCGCGCTCTCCGGGATCTGCACCTGGACGTTCCCGCCCTCCGGCATGTTGACCGCGACGACGTCGCCCACCTCCCAGGATTCGGCCTTGCGCCACTCGCCGGCGCCCCCGGCCTGCACCCAGCGCGGCCTGCCCTCCTGAGGCAGGCTCACCTCCATCATCCCCCGCACCTTGGCGTGAGGGAAGGGGGTCCTGCGGAAGAGACGGGCCCTCTTCGGGGTCCCAGAACGCTGTCTGTGGTGACACACTGTGTGGTGACATCGAAATCCGAAGCCACCCCTCACTGCGCAGTCCGTCACCGCATGGTCCTGGGACCTCGGAGGCCCCGGTCGCTCGTCACGGTCACGTCCTCGGAGAACGGCCGAATCCCAAAACCGTGCGGTGACCCTGCATGCCCCCATGACTCACCACGCGGTGTGGCCACCGCGCGCTGTTCGGGGCACCCGAACCTACAGTCAAAACTGCTAGTAAGGATGCAGAATAAGGATGCAAGCCTCTTGGGCGCCCGTGTTGAAATTCAATATTGTTAGAGCGCGGCGGGCCATCCAAAAAGAACAAGGATGGACCAAAGAGGCGCGGATGCAAGGGTACCCTTGGGAATGTTACCCATCCTTACCACCGGTTTCGACAGTGCAGTCAACCCGCGCCATAAGGACGTATGACAAGGATGCAGGGGCCTTGGAAGGCCATGCCGACACTTTACAAGCGGGGCGCGGCCAGCGAAAGCGGCCAAGGATGAGCCCAAAGGGAAGGATGAGAGGGCAACCTTGGAAAGTCGCTCATCCTTACCGTGCTGCTTGACTGCAGTCCCCAGGGGCTCTCCCCTGCAGATATTGCTCCGTTCCTGGGGGTTCGCTCTTCCCCGACGGCCCCGGAAGGGGGGGGCTGGGGGAGGAGCCCGCGAGCCCGAGACTGGCGGGACGCCTCCAACAAGCTTGCCTCGCCCTGCGGGACCCCATCCGCTCCATGCCTTCAGAGCCCTCCAGATCTGCAGATCGATCTGCACTGGGCGGCCCACATATCTTAGCAAGTGCTTGGGCTAGAAAGGAAGTGATTGGGTCGGTTGTTAAGTGGTTAGCCTGGAGGTTGGTAGCCCGATTGCCAACGTGGCTACCTAACCACTTCTAACCTAGACGTCGGAAGTGGCCCAAGAAGCTTAGAGCAGTTAGCTTTGCTCTTAGCTAAGTCCTGGCTAAATGGTTAGCTAAGTTCGCTAAGTAGGTTAGCGGAGGAGGCGAGGGAGGTGGAAGAGGAGGAGGGAAGACATGCTGGAAGATTGCTCGGGATGCTAAACCGCTCCATTTGCTAATGCATTTGGTGCGTCGGCGGACGCGGCGTCAGCCTTCGGAATATACTCTGGGGCCGTGGCGGGATCAGCCGAAAAAAGGCTTCTAGATATCTTTTCAATGCCCACCAATGTTCCACTTCAGCAGAGGCACTCCCCTACCGCGTGCGAAGCAGGAAGCGGCATGGCCCGAACTCCTCCCCATCCCCTTTATTCCTCAAATTCCTTTCCTCGTATCCCTGAGCTCATGCGATGATCCCACTAGCTTGAGCTTTGGCGGGGCCAACGCTGAAGCGACAGCGCCGGGCCCCGCAACCTGGAAGATAGAAGATGCACGAATACGTGCACTCAGCTTAAACAAAAGGGGGCCGTCCGTCGTCTTTGACTATGCACTTGACCGCGAGGGGACTGGAATCTACTGTTGGCCAGCGCGAGATTGCTGAAACATTGATGCCAACAACGACAGCATGAAACGTCACTCGCCCAAAACTCGCGCCGCCATCCTCCGCAGCGAAACTGACAACGTCATGTATCCGCACCTCTCTACAAGAAGCATAGCCCCCCTCGGCGTGAGAAACTCGCTGGAGACTGAACACCAACCGAATTCCTGAAGCGTTCGAGCGAGCGCGGGCTTGGGCTGCGTCGGCCCGATAAGGAAGTCTTTGCCTGCAGGGCCCCGAAGATCGAACCACTGCTGAACCGTGGTCTCCTCCATGAGACCTCCGTCGGACCATTTTAAAGTAGACCTATCGGCGGCAAACCGCTTCGAAAGCCTGTGCTTCCCCTCGAGGGGGAATGCCGGCAACGAGCATTTGTGCTGGGCTCACTGGCGAGGCAAATGCAAAGCCATGTGCGCCTTCGGCTTCCAGAAGGTCGAGCTGACACGCTTCCTGGTGAAGCTTGAAATGCTCGGCGATCGCGATGCCGAGCTATATTGCAGAGACGGCGCCCGAATAATTGACCACCACCCGCTCCATCACTCGGCAGAGGGCCACTGCACTATTGATATCTGCCAGGAGCGTCGTCAAAGCGACGGGGTGCTTCAAAGCCGCGCCCCTCAAGAATTTAGCGATCGAAGGAGCCGGCGACAGAAACTCAGAGGCGCCCCCCGATGGTCCGCCCCCGTCCCGGCACAGGCGGCGACCACTCGCAGGAGCAGACGGCCACCTCCATCGACTGAAGTATTCATCGGGCTTGTCTGGGCCAAGCTCGACGCTTCTATCCCCGAGCCTGGTAAAGAGCTCCCGCATCGCATGTGCCATCGCGCCGTCGAAGCAGTAAACGCGAAGCCAGTAATAGCGCCAGATCGAGACAAGGTTGACTGCCAAGTGCTCGTCTTGAAGGTAGCTTTCCGCGCAATAAATATAGCTCATGCGTGTCTGGAGCTTCTCCAGGGCTGGCTTGTCGGCTGTTGCCGCGACCGCGGCCAGGCGCCTCTGGACGAGCGCTCGTTGGTGCGCGACCGAAACTTACAAGCGTCGACGCACGCAGAACTGCAAAGGTAGTCATTCGCGTTGCGATCCAGCCAGGGGCACTTATGGGAAACGACGTTGATGCACAATCCGCAGATCTTGCGACCGCCGCTGCCCGTGACGCCGCGCGCAATCTTACGCCCGTCACCAGGCGAGGGAACTTCTAATCTGCCAGTCGGGGCTCGACGCCGTCTCGAAGGTCTGGCCTGCGTGGTCTGCCGAGAAAGAATTTCAATATTACAATGAAGACCTGGGACATGTTCCCTGGCAGCCGATTGACGGCGCCACTGAGCGCCGCCATGACCGCGGACCAAGCGAGCTCCGATCCCAGGCACGGCCAGCCCACCCCCAGGGAAAGCAAGCTTGGGTTTTTGCATTGGTTATGGCCCTTGAAAGCATCGCCTGGCGTGATCTCGCCCCTGTGCAGAGTGATGCCCATGCGGTTGCCAGAGTCATCCAGCCGCTTCTGCAGAAACTCATTGAACGCGTGCGATGTTGTGCATGATGTCTCAATGAAACCCATGGATGTTGCGCGGTCAAGTTTGCCGCGTCGCCTTTCTTGGTTGCCTGCTCAAACATCGGCAACAATGGGCCGTGGTTCGTATTATGATACGCAGCGCCCTGCCTATGTCGGCGTTGGCTCGATGTCGAGACGGCGCCTGGGAGCTCTGGCATCTCCTTGAGCTGAAGCAGCAAATTTCGTAGCGCACTGGCAGTGACATGATTCTTACGGCCCAGATCATCGAGCTTGCAACGTTTGTTCCTCGGGTTCGCGTCGTTCATCACGACGCTCAAGTAAACAGATTAAGCCAAAAAGGACGCGGGAGGCGGGGGGGGGGGGAGGGGGGAGGAGGAGATAAAGTTTACAGGGTGGTCGACTGTCGACGTTTAGTTTTGGGGCCAGGGAGTTGGTTAGTTCGGGGCTGTCAGTCTGGAGCGTTTCACTCTAGGGCCTCGGGGGTGCTTTGGCGGTGCCTTTGGGTCGGCCCTGGGGAGGCCTTGGTGGCGCTAACCAGGAACGTCCAACTCTCGAGTTTTAGCCCTTGGTGCATTTAAGTTCTTCACGCTTCGCGACTCCCCACTAGCTGCGCACATGCAGAGCGCTCGCTGCCGGGCGATGTTCGATCCTGCTCTTCTTCCGTGTCGCGTTTCATATGTATCGCCCTCATCCTCTTCATCCGTTTCCTTATTCATGTTCCTCCTCCCGGCGTTGTCTTGGAAGCATCTCGGGGCGTCTTGGACAGCCGTGCGATGTCGATGCGTGGCTGCTGGTGTCGACGGTGCTCGCGGTGGTGGTGGCGTTGTTTATGCTGATGATGCAAGTGGTCGCAGCAACGGTGACGATTTTGCCATCGTTCTTGCGCGTGGCTCTTGGAGGCCACTGTAGTTAGGTTGCTGCGTGCCGCCTGACCGAGAATGCAGTCGACGCCCTGTTGTAGGGCGCAATGAAACCGCCATGCACATCTAAACCACGTGATGCAAACCCACTGCGGTTGCATATCCATAGTGACTAGCATCGGTCGCACGCCGACGCGCCAACGCTAGAAGTAAGCGAAGTCTGGTTGGGCCCTGCATCTATCTGCAGGTCGCCTCAAAGACAAGCTCGGCTGCAGCATGCGCGGCCTGGCCGACCTCCTTCGCATCGCTCTCAGAATGCTCGAGGTCGAGGGCCTTCCTCCTCGCGCCGCGGCAAGCTCGGCCGGCGCGCGCATCCGCGGAGCGGCCTTTGCAGCCGGCTGGCTTCAGGAGCGACGTGAAATTGATGTCGTTGAAAGTGCCCTTCAACTTCGGAGTGCCCGGTGGAAGGGATGAGGCGGTGGGAGCGGGCAAGGGGGGGCGAAAGGGGGCATGGTGGGGGGGGAGAGGCACCAGAGGAACCAGAGGAGAAGGGCGAGGGATATCACGAGGAGGAGGAGGAACACCACGCAGCCGCAGGGGGGCCCGGCTGGGGGCAGATGAGGAGGAGGAGCAGGAGGGGGAGGAGGAGGGGGAGGAGGAGGAAGAGGGAGGGGGTCGGGGAGGAGGAAGACGAGGATGAGAGGGATGGGGAGGACGAGGAGGAGCAGCAGGAGGAGGAGGAGGAGGCAGAAGAAGAGGCAGAAGAAGGCGGGCCGCGGCGGCGCCGCTGGCTGCGGCCCTTTCCGCCCCCAGCGCCTCGAGGTCGTCCTGGGGCTTGGCCATCGGGGCGATGGCGGCAGGAGGTGGCGGCGGCGGTGGGCCCCCATCCGCGGCCGTAGCTGGGGGGGGGGTCGCACGGGGCAAGCTGCGTCGGCGCCCTCGGGGCCTGCGGCCTGGCAGCGCGAGGGGCGAGCTGGATGCCCGCGGGGTCCTGCGCCTGCGCTGGCCCGCGATCGGCGAGCTGGAGCAGCGGGCGCCGGTGCTGGCCAGCCGCAAACGGGAACACGGTCGGGCA